TTATCACTGATTGATGATTATAGATAGCTCTGTTAGTTGACGGTTTAATAGATCGACTGAATAATTCTTCCAAGTTAGATCTTGGGGCGTCACAATGCATCTCCTTCGTCTCATCCAGATAAATATAAAGCTTCCTCTTCATGAGATGAGCTTCTTCAACTGGGGGAGAATTGATGTAGGCAAGGGAAGGTCAAAACAATTTGGGTCTTTCTTGTCCTTGGGTTGCTTGCAGTTCTCGGTTTGGGGTTGTTTGCTGCTCTCAAGTTGGGGCTTAGCTGCTTGGTGTTGAGCTTAAAAGTTGGGTTCTACTTGGTGTTATCTCATTAATGCTTGAGCTGAAGTTTAGCTCATTATTTGAAGGAGTAAATGCACTTCCTAGCTCATAAAATCAAAAAGGTATTCTTCTATATAACCCATTATTGTGGAGTGGACTTGTGTCTCTTTCCCTTCTCTTTACCCCTTCGGTTTCTTCTCATCTAGTTTTATTTCCGAAATGAAGTTCATTCCCCTTGTTGTGTTGTTTGCTCTCTGTTACCTGGCTGCCCATTGGGATTTCTCTGTTTGCCGGTTCTGTTTCCTGCTGCCCATTAGGTCTTCTCTGTTTGTCGGTTCTGTTCCTGGTTGCTGTCCAGTGAATGTTAACCGATTCCTGGGAGGTTTTCTAGAATGCTTTATAGCTGCCCCTTGGCCTTTCATTTCCCCAAATCTGATTGATTTTGGTTGGAGGTGGAATGGTTGTTTGGCTTCTTTCTTTTGCTTATAAATTAGAGATGTTTTGAGAAGGAAAAGGGTTGTTGTGATGATGATTTCTGGAGAAAACCTGTGAGTTTCTTTGGAATAGCTTGCGAGCTATGTCCTCCACCTTCCTCTCCTCTCTATAGCTTGCGAGTTATACTTCGTATAGTCTTCTAAGCTCTTTCTTCTCTCCGCAAGTGACCAACCCACTTGTATCCTTCTTCTCGACGAATGAAATGCAAGTTTAGGTGTCTTTATTTAGTGTCTTGTAAGTGTCAAGAGTTGTAAGTGTCTTTTTATGATATAAAAGGTTTTTTTTTTTAGTATTTTATGTAATTTCTTATCCTAGGAAGAGTGTTGTTTTTGCTTGGGAAGGGCCCCAAATTTTTGCTTGCATCAATATGTCTAGATTTCATCTTATCAATCTCATTTCCTACTGAGAAGTTACTACAATTTAACCACACTTCATTTTTCATGAAATCATCAAAAAAAATTTTATTCAAATCATATATGTTGATGATATTATCTTGATAGAAAATCATGAATAATATATTAAGAAGTTCGAAGGTGTCCTAGTTAAAAATTTTGAAATCAAAGACCTTGATTTATTAGAATATTCCTTAGGCATGGGAATAGCTATAGATCAAGCAATGGAATATCTATCTCGCAACTAAAACACCTCTTAGAGTTGCTAGAAACATGCTTGGGTGTAAACTTACAAACACACCAATGGTTCTATAAACAAAGTTGGGACTAAAAAAGATTCCACCCCTATTGACAAAATGAGGTACTAAAAGTTAGCATGGAAACGTATCTATATATCTCACACAAGAACTAATATTTTCTTTCATGTTAGTGTTGTTGGTTAGTTTATGAATGACCCCACAAAAGAGCAACTTGATGTTATATATAGGATATTAAGATCTCTTAAAAAAAGGACCTAAAAAGGATTATTCTTCAAACAAAAACTAGCCTAGAAATAGAAATCTTTATTGTTGTTGATTGGGTTGGATCCATAATAGATCATAAATCCACATCTGAATATTGGTCAATTATATGAGGATATTTAATTATATAAAAAAGTCAAAATAATAAGAATAATAATAATAATAATAATAATAATAGTATGTTGTAGCCCAAGATGCACGGACATGGACATGGCGATACGGGCACAGACACGGAACACAATATTTTTTGAAAATATAGGACACGGATACGGCTCGGACACAGGCATTACAATATTTTATATAGTGCATAGAAAATTAAAAATTAATGTAAAATCAAATTATAAAAAACAAACAATAACAAATCAATGTCATAATAACTTTTCTAGCTTATAATATAAAATGTTTAGTACAAAATATCTACTATTACCGATATCCTGTATCTAATATTTTTTTATCCTCCAATCTTCCTTACTAAGTAAAGGCTAGCATGAATATAAAGAAAAAAAAAAAAACTTAACCAGCAAATAAATTGGTAAGTATAATTTGCTCACTTGCATGAGGAAATAAAGAAGCCATCACAATCTATACTCTGATCCATGGTTTAAAATTGCGCAATATGAGGCTCGCCTTGAGGCCCGCCTTTGCGCAATTCCAATAAAAAACGCCTCGATGCTTACGCCTCGAGTTTTTTTTATGAGGCTTGCACCTCAACTTGGTTGAGGCCCGCCTCCTTACCTCGCGTACTAA